CCCCAAAACCCCAAAACCCCAAAACCCCAAAACCCCAAAACCCCTTATGGGTGAAGAAGAATTGAGAGAAAAATTCTTTGATTTTTGGTATAACTTTAGAATAAATCAATATCCTGGACACAGAGCTCGACATTGCTATTCTTTTGTGTAATATACTCATACTGAGCATCGTCTTCAGTTGTCTCACCTGTGTGTTCCCTTCTTCTCTTAGCAGACCCGGACCTTTTGGTCCTTCTCTTGCTTTTTTTATTCGTATTTGGAACTGCCTTCTTGACTTTTTCGATTTTGTCGATAATTCTCCTCTTCTTTTGGTAGAGCATTACGAAGCAGTGGTGAAGCTCTTCAACGTTTTCTTCAGTAGGGTTAACTATACTGATAAGCGGTTACAATTACCTAAGCTTGAGTGCCAATCCGTGGTAGTGGGATACTCGTGATACTGATTGCTACTTAAATTCAATGACTTTTTCACATTCTTTTTGATTGAGTTCTCCATTGTCGAGACCTTATAGGCATTGGACCCAATCAAAGAGTCTTCATTAGTGTTCTTCATCTTCACAGTTTTCGTACAATTTGAATGGAGTGGAGTCAACTCTGACTGATGTACCATTGAGCTGGACCTATTGTCACTCATCTTAGTGTTGTTAGAAGAACTGCTCATCCTGTAATGGACCTGGTGCCTGCTCTTGTGAGGAGGAGCATTAAAACCAGTCATCCTCCTGTTCTCATTCAGCTGGCTAGACCCAAGGCTACTCCGTTTTACAGCTGATGCGGATTGGTTTAGAGCATCTTTAGGACTACTTGAGCTCAACATATCATTAATAGCCTTATATTGAAAGGATGAATTGACGCAATTATGATCTACATGCTTCTTTGCGATATTATGTTGCTTTATTACCTTCACACCTCCAGCGGATGGCTGGGAGAATACATAATTAATACCAGCGGGGTAATGGGCCTTTTTGCTCTTTGAACCCTTTTTCATAGACTCTTCATATTTCTTATAGTAACTTCTCTCCTTCTTCGAGCTTGTTTGTTGAGGAGAGGTCTTATGATCCTCAGACAAATAGAGGTCCTTGGCTTTCCTAATCCCACTAGACATAGATCTTTTATCATATTTCTTAGTCTTGGTCCTTCGGTCGCTGTAGAAATCTCTTGAGTTATTCAAATGGTTATCCTTGATGCTGTGTCTTGAGCCATGTTTAGAAGAAGCCAAGAAGCCGCTATTGGTACAGTTGCCATTGAGAGTCCTCTTCTTAGATTTAGATGGCGTCCGCTTGTACTCAAGTAATTTATTACTGTTGTATCTATTCTCCATTCTTTTGTTCCTTTTAGTCGATCTGTGCCTTTTACGATCAGAGGACATAAATCCTTTAGAAGAGGTATAGTGGCTACTCCTACTGGCACTCTTGGCAGCCTTTCTGGATGAAGAGTAGTCTAGAGATCATCAAATTTTTCTTACCTTTAGAAGAATACTTAAATGAAGACGAGTTCTCAAATTTATCCTTCTATATAATGTTTGTTAGCACATTCTTAAAATTTTAAATTTGACTTAAAACAGCCAATTAATCTACTGAATACTTCATATTTTTATTATTACGATTATTGGATAAAATAGAAGAAAATCTGGACACAAAAGTGTTTACCTTATTAGCATGAGCTCTGCTAAATTCATTGAACATCTTTGAACCATGCTTGTCATTATTTGCAGCTGCTTTCTTCAATTGGCTGAGATGGGATGCAAAACTTGCCGTAGTTTTCTTAGATATACCCTTAGAGTACTTCTTTGGCTTGTAATTATACATCTTCTACATAATAAATTAGCCAATTGCACATTGTGTTCTCCGGAATTGAAGAGGGTGATAGAAAGCTTACCTATCAATTTTAAAAACAAAATTTATTTAAAATCAATTTTAATATTGTTAAGGGGTTTTGGGGTTTTGGGGTTTTGGGGTTTTGGGGTTTTGGGG